TTCATCGGAATCGTCTTTTCGACAATTTTTTATTTATCGTTTTGTCGTCCCGTTGTTGTGTCGTTGCGTCGTTTCTTCATTTCGTCGCTTCGACATTTTGTCGATTCGTCTTTTTGCTGATTCGTCGTTTCGTCCTTTTTGTCGTTTCGACTTTTCGTTGATTGATTTTTTTCGTCGTTTCGTCATTCAGTTTACGTGTTTCGTCGTTTCATGTTTACGTGTTTTTGTCGTTTCGTCATTCCTTCGGTTCGTCTATTCGTTCATTACGTCCTTTCGTCGCCACGTTGTTCCGACGTTTCGTCGATTCTTCTTTTCGTCTTTTCGTCATTTCTCGCTTCGTCGTTTTATCGTTACGTCGTTTCGTCTTTATCGTTTTTTCGTCTTTTTGTCGCTTGGTCTTTCTTTCGTTTTGTCGTTGTGTCCTTTCGTCGTTTTGTATTATTGTCTTTACATTGTTTCATCTGTTCGTCGTTTCATCGTTTCATGTTTATAACTTTTCGTCATTTCGTCTTTTCGACGGCGAAACGCCCATTCGTCTTTTTGACTATTCGTCGTTTCGTCGTTCCGCCTATTGCAGTATTGCCGTTTCGCAATTTCGCTTTTTCGTCGTTTAGAGTTTTCGTTTTTTCTTCGTTTCGTCTTTCCGTCGTTTCTTCTTTCCGTCGTTTCGCCTCGTCGTCGTTTCTTTCCTTTCGCCATTTCGTCGTTTCGTTGTTTCGTCGTTTCATAGTTTCATCGTTTCGACGTTTCGTCTTTTCGTCGTTTCTCCGTTTCGTCGAAGTATTTTTGGCTCTGCGGCACTACCTGAGTCAACCGCCCGAGCGCAAACTCCCGGATGTTCAGGCTCAACCCCTTCCTCCCCCGCAGCGTACTTTCACCGACCTAACGGTTCTGGCCCTCGTGTTAACGACGCCACACTATCTCTGTACACATTAATAGTCTTCTTTACAGAATCATCGAATCGAATTTCTTCCTCCTTTTCCGTCAGCCTGTATCCACTTTTCTTCACATATGGGCTCGCATAAAGCGATTGATTCCAGAAGCAAAACAAGGGGCCATGTCAGCATTTGCTCAATGGATCAGGGAAATTGGACAAAAACCTAATCGAGATGGGGACATTGACCCGAAAGCTGATGTACATTATTTGTTACAAACTTATTAAGTCTTTCTAAAAATATTATACAATACAAATGTAAACTTATTCTATATATTACTGTTTTGTTAAAATAAACATTAGTTTCCTATTGATAATCAATATAGTCTCTATTTGTATAGAAACAGTTATGCAGCAGAAAAGATTTTACATTAAACTTCAATTTGTGAACCGACTTCACTTGTTTAATGTCATCTAGCAATGCGTTGTACGTTTTTACGACGTGTGTTGTAATTATAAATGCGTCGTATGTTTTTACGACGTGTGTTGTAATTATAAATATCAGTATTGCATGAAAGTATATCCCCACCGTTACGTAAGTCACTTTTGACAAATATTACAAATTAGTAAATATATAGGCAAGGCAGTGGTAAGATTCCAAACTCAATGAAGAAAGGCTTGCAAGGATCACGCGGATGGATTTTTTTCATTATTCGAATACTTTTCTTTTGCAATCTAAAGGTCTGAGTACTACATGATGAGTTTTCCCAGAATTTTATGCCATATCTCAGGCGGAAATGTACATTTACAAAATACACGAAATGAACTGTATGAAGGCTGACAGAATTTGAAAGAATTCTAAATGTGTAACATAATTAATAATTAAGTTTGATATACGTATTTGAGGTGTGACTGAATTGAGAGACTTGGATATTTTTTACCTGAACATCGACTAATTACATATTGCTTATATTCAATGAAGCATGCGATTGCTGATTTGAAATGCATAAATGCATTGAAACTGTTTAAAACATTTCTCCCTGCAAATATTACGTTCCACGTTTTCGTTCGAATCTAACTGAAGATTGTTTCATTTGTTCAAATGAAATATTAGGATTCACCAATAAAGCTACTACTTCGTCGTAGTGTTTTGGAAGACCATTCAACATATAAATTTAGTGTCGTCAATTCATGTACCAAGTTCTTGTATCTCGCATGTAATCCCTTCATTTCGACTAAAAAATCTGTGATTGTTTCTCTCTCTGTATTCCTATTTCTACGAGTTTATTCTATTTAATTAATTAACTACGTTTTCTGAATGCCGTCATGATGTTTGCGAATATGCTCCCATAAATCCTTCGCTCTATCCATCCCACTGCAAGTCATGAGTTGTTCGTCCGACAAAGCCATAACCAACAAACGCATCGCTTCGTCGGTATTTCTGCGCCAGTCTTGCCAGACTTTTAAGCACACCTCGTTGTCCGCGGTAAATTTTGGTTCTTTTGCAATAATTATTTCATCATACAATTGTTTGGAACTTAATAGCGTTGTCATCCGCATACTCCACATCATTTTGTTATTATTGGTAAGCGTACCAATGTTTCCGAACGCCGTCGTAACGCTATCCACCTTGAATATTAAGCCTCGTTAATCACACAAACACGTTAATCATGTATTCGCACAACCACGCCCTGCTAGCAGATTTGCTGTTAGTCTCCTCCAAAGTAAAAAGTCAGCATGCGACATATACCAATATTTAATACATTGACCACCTTAACACATTTTACAGATTCGTCACAAAGATTTTTAGCTTTCTCAATAAAAAACTTAATAGTTACGCGTTACACAGAAACACCTGTCCATGAATACCTGTCCAGAAACACCTGTCCACCACCATGTCCCTTCTTTTGTCATGTCTCGCGAACAACTAGCATATTGTTCTTAATGTACAGATTCTTTAGATCTTATTTTTTGTGATTTTATACGTATAAACAGAAAATGTAAAATACTAGTTAAGTTTTTTGTATGACTTACCTTTTACTTCTGAGTTCCAATATAAACATCTTATTAGATTTTCTAGCAAAATGTAAGAGCATCAAACATTTTTCTTAAGAAATGTTGTATGGCATCGTTTTCTACTCACGTAGAAAATCTATTTTTCCCCGATCCTAAGCAAAACTCAGGATTGAATAATGGAGTGACGACCCGAGCTTCCGGAGTATGTCCGGAGCGCACTTCCGGAGCGAGACCCGTTTGTCCGCAGCTTCAGAGCATGTTGCAGGCCGTCTTAAGGTATCATTGCTCGACATAGAGTTAACCCACACGTCCGTTCGCGCAGTCATTGTTGAGCTTTCTGTTATCTTGTTATGTAAACAATTATGTTGCTACATTATTCTATCGAAGAATCCGCCTAAAAATGAGCCAAAATGACAGTTCGCTAAACAAGTGAACATCACATGTAAATCAGAGAAGTATCCCTCCATCGCGGCAGCTGTTCAGCCACGCCTATTCGTGAAGTGTTTATGTTTGAACATGGCTCTCGTTAAGACATTATGGCTTCTGATGGTTCACAACCGTGTAATTATATAAATAATAAATTGATGGAACGCATAGCACGGAACCACGAAACGTTCTCGATCACAAGGCAGAATACCATTTATTCTATTGATTTTCAAATATTATAAAAACTTGTTTGTTGTTGTTTTTTGTTGTTTATATTAATAAACCTCGTAATAATCAAGAGCAAGTGGTAACACATCTATGGCCAATACTTTGATGTAAAACAACAATCAGGAATTTTGTGGAGTATAAAGCTCAAATTATGTTCTAAAGGTAAATTCTTACCATTTTAAATATATGGATGAGCCGATGGGCATCTTGGTAAGTTCGGTCCCTTCTACACCAGATGAATGACGTTTCCCGACAGCTTCCGGACGCACCTGGAGCAGGGGCTGGTAACTCTAGTTGTGCCTCATCTCCATTGTGGGGAGGCGCTGGATTACAGCTTTTTGTAGCACTGGTGAGGTCTAGGTAGATGGTGGTAGGCAGAAGATAAAGGCAGATGAGACGTTTGCCACAGTCCTATGTTTTGATTTAAACTGGCCGAAACAGATAAATTAAATTTCATATACATTTAAATAGTGATCTTAAGTTAAAATTCATTCTAATTGTTGGTTTAGTGAAGAATTGAGAGACGAAATGTTAATACTGTATAACTTCGCACTTAGGCACACTTATCATTGAATTACACCACTTTATATACAAAGTCATAAAATCTGTTTGTTAAAACCACAATTCTATGAGTAAACAGTAAATTATTGTAATTTTATTATATACTTGTAATGAATATTAATATTAGATTTGCAATACAATATTAAATAAATATTACATTGTACATTGATTAAGAAGTTATATTAATAAACAGAAATGAAATAAATTCTGAATGTATTAAAAAATAAAAACGTATTATTTCTCTGTATGTACTCTGGAAATTTTTTCTCTGTAAATAAATAATAAAGTAACCCATTTTTCTATTCAATCTTTTATTACAAAAAATTCGTATATACATCGTACATCAAAAAAATACACTTCTATGCTTCTACCATACTTAAAGATATTGAAATTTAATGACATTATGTACTGTAAAATGAATAAACATCTTTAAATTTATTTTTTTGTGAACTTGCTATCACTGTGTAATAAAATTGTATTGTACATTCAGGTCACTAAATTTTGTAAAGAAATTCATATTTTTTATGAACACTGATTTCAATCTTCTCTCTCACCATGTTTGAATGGAAGTGGTCAAGAATGCCAATAAACAAAATACATCCATACGCAAGCATATGGATGATTCAATAATTTATGATTTTTCTCCTTTTTTATTTGTTACACACACTTCCATTGGTAGTTTTATATGAGCACTTTTCAATTATTTGCTGTTTTATTTATTTTTATTTTTTGAGAGGACACATGGAGTACTTAATTTGAAGTATGAAAAATATCTAACATTTTCTTTGAATTATGGCAACAAATATCTCCATGACATAATATTCTTGTAGCATTGAAAATGCACATATAAATATACTACTTCAGAAAAAAACAGTTATTCTTGTAGGTGTGGAAATGTGATTAATCCATTTCTTATAACAGTACAAGGAATAAGTTAAGTCCTTTCGTCGGCACCTTTGTTTGTAGCACTACATGGGAAACCGCTGCTATTCAGAGTACAGAATCAATGACGTGAAGCACTCCATTTGTAGCCGGAATGTTGGGAGTCAGGACATGAGCACTGTTCGCCTTCAATTGTCCTGAAAATAAATTCAATACTTTAATTTAACTTTCTGACATGTGAATTATCAAACATTGAAATTCATGTTTCAAAACATCAGATAGCTGAATAGCTAAATGAATGTTGATTGTCAAATTACAAAAGCACCTTAATTTAAATTAACAGCATCAAGTACAAAAATACAATAAATTGTGAAACTTTCCCAAATCATTTTGCAGACTTTAGCAAGTCAAGATTTGATTTTTTACGTTTGATAGGCTTCGTAACCAGTGGAACAAATATCTGAATGTCGTTGTGCGTGTGAGTGTGTATGTGTGTGAGTGTATGTGTAAGCATGTGTGACAGTGCATGAGTGTGAGTTTGTGTGTGTGTGTGTGTGTGTGTGTGTGAGAGAGAGAGAGAGAGAGAGAGAGAGAGAAACAATAGTCTGACATTTAAAACTTACGTGAGAGAATTATTAAAGAACTACCAAAGAAAATACCACATCCATGTTAACGCTAACATAACTCCATAACCCTGGAAAACGTCTTTGGAGACGTGTAACGAATTATGACATACAGACTCCTTTGATGAACCTTAAGGAAATACTGGATTGAAAGGAGGAGTTCGCGAAGCTCTGATTTGTTAATAGTAATAATTATGAGAATAATAAACGATTAATTGAATTTATAAGTGGACTCGGATGAGAAAAGTATAAAAAAGTTAACAAACGCTGTAATGTTTCCGTGCGCTCAAAGTGCGGTAATTGTATATTTCTAAATGTTATGTGTACTTCACATTTTTTGAAAATAACTGATTATCAGAAAATGTACATTAAAAAGAAACAAAGTTCATTCGCTCTTTTTTTGGAACGAAAAATATTCTCCACTTTCTTAATTTCAAGATATTTTGTTTTCTCGCTAGATTACCAACATAATTTACACTTTAGGTATCTTTCAATCACACGTTAGTATCACCGATTTTATCACTGAGCCAGTCAAAAACTTTACCATTCAATATTTTCAAACAATAACATAAATAACGGCAATTGTACAGAGGCAAACTTAAGATTAAAATCCAAACTGCAAACAGCACGTACGTTCAGTAAAGAGAATAGCAGCGTTACAAACGTACTTAACATTGAAATGTGTTTCTCCCGAAAGAAATCGCTAATCGCGCAAAAAAAGTGCAGCGAGAGTCACAGAAGCGAGTTTCTCTGTCGAATGTCGTCTTCTCCGCGGCCGCTTCTTGAAAGTGAAATCCCGCTCTCCCCGGCAAATTACACACGCCGCCCCGCGCCGACGCACGAGCCTCGACCCGCACGCGCCGTCACGGCGGCAAGGTCGCCGCTTCCTTGCCCCTGTGGAAGTCATCGCAAAATCTACAGGTCAAATTCCTTACATTGCGACACTGCGAGGAGATGCGTTGTCAAATTTCTGAGATAAGCGCCACCACAATGGACATGCGCTATGGAAGTCATCGCAAAACCTACTAGTCAAATTTCTTAGATCGCGTCATTGCGAGGATACGCGTTATGGAAGTCATCGTAGCATTCACAAGTCAAATTTCTGTGTTAAGGGCCACTACAATGGACGTGCGCAATGGAAGGTGTCGCAAAATCTGCAAGTCAAATTCCTTAGACACGCGACACTGCGATGGTAATGCGCTACGAAAGTCATCGTAACATACACAAATCAAATTCCTTAGACATGCAACTCTGCGATGGACATGCGCTATGGAAGTCGTCGTAGCATATACAAGTCCAGTTTCTGAGATAAGCGCCGCCACAATGAACATCCGCTATGGAAATCATCGCAAAATCTACAAGTCAAATTCTTTATATACTTAGATTCCTCCCTGCGATGGACATGTTCTATGGAAGTCATTGTAGCATATTCCAGTCAAATTTCTGAACTATGTGATACTACAATGGACATGAACTACGGACGTAATACGATATTGCAATTGTCACACGCTCGAGAGTCATCGTAACATCTATAAGTTGAATTCCTGAGATACATGGCACTAGAATTAACATGCCCCTTCCGTCAAATTTCTGATACTATAAAGAACATGTGCTATGGAAATCATCGTAGAATTTATAAGTCAAATTTCTCAGATACGCGAGACTGCAATGGACATCCGCTCTGATATTATCATAGCATCTACAAGTCAAATTTATGAGTCTGCACGCTAATAGACATGCGCTATGGAAGTCCTTGTAACATCTACAAGTTGAATTTCTGATTTACATGATACTGCAATGAACATGAGTTGAGGAAATCTTTGTAACATCTGTGAGGAAATTCTGCAAGCAACACTGCTACTAAGATGGCTGTGAAAGTCATCAAAATTGATTTGAGTTGAATTTCCTGTATATGCGACACAATGAACATGCGCAAAGGTAGTCATCGCAATAATATCTTAAAGTTAAAGTTCTGGAATGGACGAGATTGCAATGGAAATCTAGTTAGCAGCAACAACAACAATAACAACAACGTACTATTTCGAATGTTTAATGTCCGATGTAAAAGATTATGATTACAAGATAGAATTCTGGTCAAAGCGGGAATGTGAACACATTTTCTAATTGTAGCGTAGAAGTCAAAGGGCCAGAATATAAACTAAATTATTGAAAACTAACTCTCATAAAGTATATTATATCTCGCAGGGATCCGATCCAGGGACCTTCTGATGTCCTAACCGACTGAGGTAAATATTCATACATTTTGTTCGTGCAACGTGTGTCATTCCAATTCACTTGTCACTCTTCTAGTCAATTAAATCGTATCAACTAAATTATAAATAATAATTTTATTGATGAAAAATAAGACTATGTATCAACTTCATCCCATAGAATGAAAACAATTGCTTTCAATCATTTAATTTAGATGATTCCGTTATTACGAATTCAATTTTGCGAATTTTATAAAGGTGCAGACATACATTAGGAAAATTAAAATATAATAAAATTAAGAAAACAAATCTGGGAATGTGTGCTTTTTCGGCCTTGCCAGTACATAGCCAATCGTATTATTCATATTATGAAATACCGAATGAAGATAACAATGACTCCTCTAAATTACGGGATACTGCGTTTACTTTGGAAAATTTGAATTGCAAGTACTTCTTTACCAATTGTTACAAGAAATAAATTATGTCACATCGAATTCAAGACGTTTCAGAATAATGGCTTCCTAGCAAAAGAACTTATAAGAATTATAAGACTTTTACGAACAATAGTTAATGAGAAGTTGTCTTCACAATGGCATTCTTGCTAACGACGATCGCCTCTTTCGACGGTGAAACGTAAAAAAGGCTGCATTGTTAACCCCCAAACAGCAAGTGTGAACCGTACCGTTTAATTGCTCTGGGCCACTGGGAACGGACAAATGCGCCTCTAATGGCGCATTCAGACTCGGAGAAGGCGGCGGAGTGCGTAAGAGAAAAGTGCAAGTGTGGAAAAACGGCTAATTATTTTTTAGATTTCTCACGAGACGCTGCGAGTCTTTCACGCGGGGTTTTCTAATTATCTCTTACAGCCCGGAAAAGGCACGCTGAGAATATTCTATTACACATGCGTACACCTGCGTGTAAGGAAGACGTATTATAACGAGCGTCCATTATCTTCTTTATTGGTCAGGGAAAGCGTGTTACTCTGAAATGATAGAAACATGGGCAAGAGTTATGAGTATGTAACTCGAACAGGTTATGTGAGCACTTCCTCATATTCCTCTGCATTGTTAAATAATCTATCTTATCAAAACAATTACATTTCTTATTTTCGATGTGCAAACAGATATTTTTGTCGCAATAATTGCCTTAAATTAAGGAAAATACGCCTGTGTAAAGGAAAGGAAGTAACAAAAATGAAGGAAAATGTTACGAGTTCGTTTTTTTCATTATTCCACACGACATGTTTACTTTTTTTTGAAGGAACCAAGATTGTAATAAAAATATCATCAGATTAGAGTTGTAGATTTAAAGTTCACGCTACGAAGTATTGATCACACAACTATATGTTTCACATTTTATGTTTGTGATATTGTGAACACTGTCGCTCCTGATATCAAAACTCTCTAGTTCAGTTTTCAAATACGAATATGCAGAAAAACGTTGCTAATTTTCGTTAAGAATAATTTGATATTAAAATAATATTACCATGTCAAAATAATATAATGAATGTTAATCTACGATACCCTGGAGGAGATGATTTCGTTCATAAATTACGTAAAGACGCGATGAAAAAACAGTTCCTGTTGCAGAACATTTCTTTGGAAACATAAGTACATAATTTGAGAAAACATACCCAATGTTCATAGCATATTTTTCTCTTTCCCATTCGTCCTCTAGCATCCAATGTTATTCATTATTTAGTTGCACCTCAATTATCAGACCGAAATAAAACAAACCACCATCAGTACCATTAAAGCTTCTCTTGACAATTTGAGAAGATGAGTGTTATTAACATTCCAGAAAATACTCTTCTTCAAATAGTTTTTATACGGAAATGCAATCATATGTAGGTTTGGCAGTGATAATTTGACCGCACGCAGCAACAATAATCTATTTGATAGAGCACTTACAAAAAACAAAACAGAGGGATCCGAGATTCTGAGACGTGTCTGTTTTTGTTTCCATCGCAATGCCTGACCTTGATAAGATCGAATCTCCGGTGAACCGCATCGCAGGTGATGCAGCTGTCTGATTGCCACTCAGCGACCGCTAATCACTCAATGGAACCTCGCCGGCCTCTACACGTACAAAACAAGAGCTACTTCATCTGATACTTCACCCGCACGAACGTGACTCTTACTGGACCATCCCAAATTCAAATAGCGGACCATAACAAATCCTTCCAAAATGTCCACACCCACCACCAATCTATCCTAAACAAATCAAAACATTCCGTTGAGAATTACTCATTCTTAATTCATATCTTGTAACGTTTCCATAAGACAAAATCAGTCAACAGACTAGATGACATCGAGCTAGCACAATGCCTCCCAATTTCCCTTCTACCAAAAACTCACACCCTAC